TTTCAGTGCTTTGACTTGTTCTGGCATGGAATCGATGAGTTCTGCAAGTTTCTCCTGTAGGATCTTGACCCAGGCTGCACGTAAAACATCAAGTAGCTCTCCACGGGATGCTGGTTTTCTGGAACTTCTTCTCACTTCTCGAGCAGGTATGGCCCAGACATGCTCGATGGGGTTCAAATCAGGTGACTGACTTGACCATGGGAGCCATTGGGTGCCTTTCATTAATTAAATGACTATTGATTAAACATCATGGTGTCTATTTACTTTTGAGATGTCTCTGTATATGGTTTTTCAACCACCGAGTTAGTGTAATCCTTTATTAGATTATTTAATAGCTTATTTTATTTTATCTAGACCACCGTTCAACTACCGCGTTGATGCAGACAAAGGGTTTAACTTCAGTTACACAGATGACTCATTTGTCTGTCAAAAGAAAAATCACTTCCAAATAACAGTTCACGTACAGTCTATTGGAGATCCACAGTTTATTAAAACTCCCGATGGTCTTAAGAAACTAGACAATTTCTATTTGCACTTCTATGGAGTCAAGGTGAGGAGACACATTAAATAAAAAGAGCAGTTTTTTCATAGAGTATCTAAGCAAAGGAATGAAAAAAAAACATAGATATTTGAATCTGACAACATTGATATTAATAATAATGAAGAAAATAGTTTGAATAAGAAGGAAATTTGAATACTTAATATGTTTTGAAAGATAATGTGTAACAGTCAATTTTCCAACAACTTATCACTAGTCGAATAGGTTGGAAGTCTTGTTCATAGTCAGAGCTGATTGTTTTACATCATTCATTACAATATAAACTGTGTATACTCTACTTGAGTAGTAAGTAATTTGTTACATCTAGTGTGTATTTTTCTTTCTTCTGCTTTATATTCTTCAGACTAGAAGTAATGAATTACTTACTACTCAAATAATACATTCTTAGTGATTTATATTTGTGACATATTTATTATTATTGTCTGAAACATTGTAAATAGTCAAATAAAGGCATTAAAACATACATTACATTTATATGTCTTCACAATAAATTATATTTTGAACTTTAAGTATTAAAGACAATCTTTGGGTCACAGTTAGGTCTGCAAGATACACCAAGAAGTTAGCACAATCATAAAAGTGATATTTGGATGTACATGCTAATTTGGATATGCATATTTATTTAGATGTACATAATAATATGGATATACGTGCTGATTTAGATGTACAATCTAATTTGGATGTTTGTAATCATTTGGATATATAAATCTAATCTAAAACTTCATAATTGATAGAGGAACAGCTTTATTTGCATAAAAAACTTATTTCAGAATTTATATTGTTATTTTAATTGTTTGTTTTTTGTACATAAACATTTTATAGATATTATTTTTCTAATCTCCAATATCTTTACTCCATGGTTGTTTAATAGGTTTGGTATAAAAATCAAATATGATTATACCTTAATGATAATGTTCAGTAGAACAAAATGGTATCTACTTTTTGGTTTATAGTTTCTCTCTTTTCATCTGATAAATTTAGATGGAATCACTAAATCAGACAATCAAAATAGAACAGTCTCAGTCTGATCGCAGCAAGAAACATTTTAATCCAGTCCAGTAAGTTGATACTTGTATTATTGTTGTATTCTGATCAATTGAAATAAGGGACTTCTTGCTTATACTTGTCCAGCTTATGTATGAACAAATAGATTAATAAATTATTAATTTAATTTCTGTAATGCATATTGGTGTATAAAAGACATATTAATACAAGTAATAAATGATATTATAGCATCAATTTTTTTTTTTTTTTTAAATTGGATACTCAGTATTTCACTTTTCAGCTTCTTCAGGAGCATTTCACTAAAACACAAACTGTAACTGGCAGTACAAAGCTTCATTTGGTTTCAATAATGTTGTAATCACATTTATAGTATGCATTTCTACAGCATGTGATGGAACCATTTCTATAAAAATAGAGAAATGACTAGACTAAACCTTCACTTACTAGAAACAACAGCAAAAGCAACTGTCATATACAGTCAACATTGAAACTGAGAACATAGATTCAGACATTAATTCCATTTATGAAATATGTTCAACTACAAATGCAACAAACATTCAGCTTTCAAATGTCTCAATAAACACCCTTTTCATACCAACATGAGACAACCTCCCCATGCTAATAAAGATATTGAAACTAAAATTGTGGATGTGAGGAAAAATATCAGGAACAAGTTACAAAGATATAAAAATCATCAGGGCAAGGCTAACTTAATACGTCAAACACATGCTGTAGAAGTGCATGTTATATATTCAAATAGAATTTATTATTTAAACCAATTGAAACTTCATGTTATCAGATACAGTTTGTGTTTTAATGGAACACTTCTGAATAAGCTGTAATATGAAACTTTGAGTGTCCAATTAAAGAAAAAAAAACAAAGTTGGTGTTATAAGGTCATTTATTACTAGTATTAAAATAGATTAATAAGCTGGCAGTATCCACACATAAACTGTATGACATTTCCGCATCAAATTTTAGGCAATGTTTTAATAGGCATAAGCGTGAATAGAAATCAAATGAAAAAAAAATTAATTAAGAATATTTTTAAAGATATCAGGTTTATTCTTAATATTTTACACAATAAAGTGGATTCACTTTATAATGTTGGATATTACCAGAAAGATACACATGCACTTATTTTTGCTATATTTTTCTTTGAAAATATTCTTTCAGCCACATACAACGTATTTCAGCTTTAGATATAAATTATGAAAATTACAAATGCCCTAAATGGTTGCTCTTTACATGTTTATGTCAACATTTAACTTCATAAGGCAGGCATTCTGCTAAAGCATAATATAACAATAACTAAAAATGTGGAAGATATATTATAGGAGGGTGAATCACAATTTAAATCTTGGCTATGGAATTATATTTGACTTCTTTGGAATTATCATTTCTCCTTTAAATCATCAAATTCAGTAATTAGTCAGGAATAATGTGGAAAAGTGCCTCTTTACCCTAAACTTAGCTAACAAAACCAGAGTTCTACAACCTATCAATCTGCTATGAGGCCTTTATCAAATTGTGATAAAGTTTAAGAATTGTATGTAGTTATATGTGTATCTTTACTATAATAATAAACATAAGAGCTGATGTAAAATACTGTTCTACATTCGCTTTTTTCATATATGCATTGTTTAAATTAGTGATGTCAGAGTGTTTCTACAGAGCTTTTGTTTTTTTCATAACATATGTCTAGAATTGAGCTTATACCTGATCAAGTTACCAAAACAACCGTTGGAAGACTTCATTTTAGTGAAACCACAACGAATAATATGCGTAAAAAGGGTAAACCCAACCCTGATCAACGTTACTTTTATCTTGTAGTCAGTATTTGTGCACATGTTGGAGATCAAATATTTCCTGTTGTGTGTCATTCATCTGAAAAAATTATTGTCAGGGTAAGAATGTATATTTCTGATAATGCTAATTTTAATTCTTTCAAAGTATTGCAAGCAAAAAAGATTGTGATATTTTATCTCTGTGAAAACATATTAAGTAGAAACTACAGATTTATAATTATCTTTAATGTCAGTTCACTTATATTCTTACAATGAAACTAGAAGATTATAATTGAGTGAAAAAACTTGCTATAACAAAGTTGTATGACTAAGAATGAATATTGCTGCTAAAGAAGGTAAGCTCATACTCAAGATTAAAAACCATCTCTACAACAAGAAATAATAACCAACCATTCCAAGAATTCCACAACTTCATATCAATGTTGAGGTCTTTTGGATCCAATAGTTGTGGTTATTAAAGTCAATCATAATTTACTATCAGTGGCCTGAGTAGTGTGGTTGGCATGTAGTTGGTTTAGTTCAAGAAAACTGTGCATATGGTTTTGAAGATTTAATGTTGCCAGAAAAAATAAATAAATTAGGCACAACAAGTAACATGTTTTTTTACAATAGTCCAAGTTTTAAATGTACTAACACTATGTAATTTGAATGAGTATTCTTTAATCCTTCTCTTATTATGACAAACTAAATATGTGTAGTTGTATAGATAGTATAAACAGTCCTATAAATGTACATAGAGTAATAAAATAATTCATAAATGTGTGGTACAAATAATTAAAACTTTTCATTTACTCAGTATTATTTATTTTTTAAGTTACATGGTTCTATCTAAGTGACAAAAGTTGATAAAACTGTTAATAAAGTCCATGTTTTTTGTATATGACTTTCTAAAAGAAAAAACGTCTAAACATGTGTATTTCAGGATATATTTTTGCTAATATTTTCATTTCTTTAAGAGACAAATATTCTGCTCTTTAGGCATCAAATCCTGGTCAGTTTGAGAATGATGTAGAACTGTCATGGCAGAAAGGACAAACACCAGACTCTATATTTCATGCTGTAAGTTTCACTCTTTCCTAGACATTTTTTTCAAACTTTAGACCTTCTGACAGGTCATAAGTAAATATTTCTTTTTACTTAAATTCCATTTTAAAATATTTTACATACATTTGAGTTTCCCAATTCTTCTTTGCACAAGTTGTTTACATAATCTATGCATAAATAGTAAAAAATTTTAAATTTGTTAACTTCATTTATCAAGAAAGTATGTCATTTATAGGTCATTTACATGTACAGTATATCCCTTATGAATTCCAAAACTGTTATGTAATTCCAATTAATGCATAAGAAACAGTAATAATACACAAGCATAATAATGCACAAATGACTAAAGAATTAACCAAACATACAAAAAGCATAAAAACCTCTTGACTACTTTCAACAGACTAAACTTGTCATTCTCAAGGGATGGAGTAAAAGTGTTCACAGTATCCTGGAATTTCAGGTTTGAGGAATCAAAGGCTCCAGAGGAATCAAGGTTCATTAATGGCAGTAGAGTGAAAAAACTAATTTGGAAGAAAAAAACCGTTTCACTGTTGAGCATGTTTTTGCTATTTTAAAAATTTCTGATCTGTTCATGGACAAATTTGGATTTTGCAATGGTTTTTGATTGATTGGAATTAATTTTATAGTTGGTTGTAAACATTTGATGTTTAGCTTCCTTCCAACAACAATAAACTTCATGTTTCTTTACTCTGATTGAAATAGACTGTTTTGTTTGACCAATATAAGCATGATTAGAATAACAAAAAATGTAATTAATATTCTGTCTGCTGCAGGTTTCTTTCTTATCTTTTCCTCTTTTTATATTTATTTCAAAGTTTGTTCACTGGTTTATAAGTTGGTTTTATTTTATTTTGTTTTAAAATAGCATCTATTTTGCTTGATATCAAAGGGTAGAAGGGTATTGGTAAATAAGGACCATCTTGTAATCTATTTGCAGTTATTAGTTTCTTTCTATCACTTTGCCTTTTAATTTTGTTGAATAAATTAGCTATATTTGGTTTCAATCCTTAGAAAACAGCAACATTTTTGAGGTAATTCAATTCATTATGAATGCCCTTTTTGTTAGAACAAATTAATTGGATGAAAACCCCAATTTCTATGTACTTGTACAAGTAATTGAACTGTTTATAATCATGCTTATATTGGTCAAATAAAACAATCTCTTGCAACTAAAGTAAAGGAGCATAAAGGCCATGTTTCCGTTCACATAATTAACCACAAAATTAATTTAGAATCAATATAAATATTTGAAAATTGTTTGTTTGTCATTAAACACAAAGCTACATAACAGTTATCTGTGTATTGCCCACCACTGGCATCTTAAATACAAATTACTACAATTTATTAAGAATCCTTTACATAAGTTGTAGCTAATGGAATGGTGAAATGCTGTGCCTAAGTATAATTCACTAAAACACTATGCCCTAAAAATGTTTTTGATTTCATTATCCATTTGTAATTAAACTTTTTGTATCCTTCTTGACTTTTAGGGTCGAGTGGGAATAAACACTGATAGGCCAGATGAACCTCTAGTAGTTCATGGAAACTTGAAAATGACTGGTCACATTATTCAACCATCAGATGCAAGAGTTAAAACCAATATGAGAGAGGTAAGAGTACTAATTGTTTGTGTTGGTTCTAAACATAGCAAAATGTTAACTAGAGCCTTACAAAAAAATTATATGAAAATATAATTATGTTCTATAATTACATGATATAATAAATAAAATAATACATTTAGGTTGGAATTTGTTGTGAGCTTAATTATGAAGGAGGACAGGGTCAATATTCAAGTAATTCTTATAGATTTGTAAATACCTATAACTTTAGTATTTGCTTATATGGCAATTTATTTTGTTTGTTTTTAGCTGACTAGTGACTTCTTGTGTAATAACTTTTAAACATGATTTAACCTCTTTTCTTTCAACAGCTAGATTCCCGTGAACAGTTAAAGAATGTGTCAAACATGCGTATTATAAAATTCTGCTACAGACCAGAATTTGCTGAGCAAGCTGGATTATCAGATGATGCCATTTCTGATACAGGAGTTGTTGCTCAAGAAATAAGTTCTATATTACCAGATGCTGTTAAAGAAGCAGGTGACATTATTTTACCAAATGGACAAACAATAGAGAATTTTCTTGTTGTGAACAAGGTACCATTTTTTGGATATATTATGACTGCTTACGACATTTTATGATACATGTATCTATACACACAGTTTGAGAGAAAAAGTTAATGCAAAGACCCATGTAATAAGTAATGAACTACAAAGAAGTAAACTTCAATTTTCTGTCTGATTCACAACTACTCATTTAATTTTCTTTTTATGTTTCATGTGATGTAAGGTCTGTTTTTGCAACATTTTAAAACCTATTTAAGGTAGAAAATATTCAATAATAATAAAAGAACATAATATCGTGTATAGCAATTAGTGAAAAACCACAGTAAACGGAAAAAACTGTCAGAAGTCTGATATTAGAGAAACTAGTTTCAACACAATTGTGCATCCTTGTCAGTCTCACGTTGTCTTTTTGACCTCATGTGTCCTTAAGGGAATTCCAAGATCAGGGGTCACATAGGCATTTGTTGACCAGTTTTATTTTCCTGCCAGAAGTCAACAATGTCTTTTTTATTCAATTCCAGGAAAGAATTTTCATGGAGAATGTTGGAGCAGTGAAGGAGCTGTGTAAAGTAACTGACAACTTGGAAACTAGAATTGATGAACTGGAACGAATCAATCGTAAACTTAAAAACCTTAAAAGATTTGACAGCTTAAAGTCCACATCTAGTGGAAGTACAGTGACCAGGTTAGTATCAGTGTTTAAGGTTTTGAAATTAATAAACCTGTTTAAAAAATACTTTTATAATTTTCACGTAAACTTACTTTATACATATTAGCAAAAATGCTGTATTACTGTTGAAAAATCCCTGATAATCTTTTTTTTTTTCAAATGTCTTAGAATATTTTTTTAGAAAGGGGTTAGAAAAAATTAAAAAAAAATCAAAATTATCTTTTATATTATGATTTTAATGAAATATGCTTGTTTTTATACATGAGTTTTAGTATTATAAAAGGCTGAATGCCATTGTTTATTTTAGTAGAGCAAGCAGCTTCACAGGATCACAGAAATCTCACCGACATCGCTACCACAGTAAACAAGAGGATCAGAATTTTTGTTCCAATCGTTTTTTCCAAGGCACTATTGTTGCTTTAATTCTGATTATGGCTTTCTGGTACTAATATTTTTTATTCTGTTTCAACATGTTAATTAGTATAAAAAACAAAGATTACCATTAATTATTCGTTAATGATAATGTAACCCTTTTTAAAGCCAAATGAGGGTAGCAGGTATTCATGTTTTCTCATCTTGTAAATAATTGGTTTTATTCTTAATGTGGTGCAGAATGTTGATCATAAAAATGATAGATTTTTACACAGGAAAAATTGGTTGACGATATAATACACAGTAACTTTTTAGTATTTCAGCAAGTAAGTGAAAAATTTATTGTATACTTAACTCTTAATTGAAACTTGAAAGTGTTTCTCCTACACCAAATAGCAATATTAAATAACTTTTAGTATATTTTCTGAAAGCTAGAAGCCAAACCATTTGTGCTACTTTTTGTGGATTAATAAATCAAATGTTTTCTTTAGTTTTTCCACAGTGTGTGAAATAAATTTTAGAATAATGGATAAACAATACTTTAAGAATCATTAACCACTTCAGGTGAATCATAATGTTTCTTTTTTTGTAACTAAGTTTACATGGTATATTTCAGTTATTATTTTTTGCTTTCTACAACTAAACCTTTTTTTTTACTTTTATGAAGTCTGAAATCTTCATAAAAATTCAAATGACTATCTTTAATAAATGGAATAAATGATCTTAGTGTTAAACTTTTAGTGGTTGTTTACTAGTAGCTTGGTGTTAAACTGTAGTGGGGTTACCTGTAACTTGATGTTAAACTTATAGTTGTTGTTTGCTAGTAGTTTGGTGTTAAACTGTAATGGGGGTTATTATTAATTGGAGGTTAAACTTATAGTTGTTTAGTAGTAGTTTGGTGTTCAACTGTAGTGGGGGTTACCAATAACTTGGTGTTAAACCTGTACTGATCATTTACCAGTAACTTTGTGTTAAATTTGTAGTGATTGTTTATTATGCATTAACTTGATGTTAAAATGTTAAACATGTAGTGGTGTTTTGACAGTAATTTGTGGTTAAACCTGTAGTAGTAAATGTTTTGAGTAATAGTGTTTTGTGTGGTCCACCTATAGAACTGGTCTACCAATAGCTTTATTGTAAACTTTTAGTAGTAGTGTGATAGAAACATAACTGTTAGTAAAATTATAGTAATAGTTTACTTGTAACAAGATCTTGTGAAGCAAACCTGAAGTGTTGATTAGCAATTGAGTCTTATGTGGTGTTGGTTTATCAGTAACAAATATGTGTATAGTATGCATGTGATATTGATTTACCAGCAACTGAGTTTTGTGTAGTAAAACTCTAATGTTTGTTTACTAGTAACTGCATCTGGACTAATGCCCCTGGGGTGTTGATTTAATTTTACTAGTAACACAATCTTATAAACATTGGTGTAATATTGGTTTATCATTAACTAAGTCCTGTGTGGTTACCTGTGAGTTGGTAACTGATTCTTGTGTATAGTAGACCTGTGGATTGGGTAATTAAGTTTCTGTTAAATAGATATTATAAAATGTTTTACTTTTGTACTTTCAGACTCTTAATATAAACACAATTTAAAATATTCCATAGTCATTTTCTTAAACATAAAAAGGTTTTAATTAAGAACAACTATATATATCAAGTACAATTTTCTTATTTTCATCTGTTTATAATGATATTTCCTTATGAACTTATAATTTTTTCATTAAAAATTTTTTCGCAATTTCCTTTGCAGCAAGTCTGAAAAAATTATTATTATATATATATATATATATTTTTACTTTATTATTTTGAACAGCCTGGTAGCTATGGCAACATTATATATCCTGGAATGGCAGAAAAGACATGCTTCTGAAGAAAAATCCAGATTAGACATTTCATTGTAAGTGAAAGAACAGTTTTTATCAGACCAAACTTTGAACCGGGTAACTGTACAACAGTGCTTCAGGTTATATAACGAAACTAATTTTGAACACTGACTAAAGAGTTTTATCCTACATATACCAATGTATACTCCATCCCACCATTTTCCTCTAGGATAAAACTGCTACAAATGTATACCATCACAACATTATCCTGTAGGTTAAAACTCTTACAAAAATATTCTATTCCAATACTGTTCTGTAGTTTAAAACTGCTACAAATGTTTAATATCGTAACACTGTCCTGTAGGTTAAAGCTGCTACAAATGTTTTTATCCCAACACTGCCCTATAGATTAAAACTGCTAGCATTGCAGCTGTAGGTTAAAACTGCTATGCAAATGAGTATCTACATGTTACAGGTCTTTATGGAGTTCTATTTTTAGTTAATATGTTATTTAAATGACTAGATAATTTGTTATTGTTCTGTTCTTTTTTGTACTGTGAAAGATGCATGTTTTTTGTATGCTTTAAAATATTTTATGAGATAATTTTATGTATGGCCATGTTAGAACTGAATTGGATGTTTTAGGTAATATTATATTTTGACATTTATAATAACACAGTCCAAAGTGATGATTGGTAGATATTTTAGGTAACTGTTTCTTCAATATTCTGATAAAACTCAATTTTTAAGTGGTTTGTTAGTCATACAGCCCTTGTTTTTACCAAAATCTAGGCCAAGTATATACACTTTAAATTCTAAGATTGGAATGAAAGATCACTTTATCATATTCCTTGTAATGGAGTCCACCTTTGTATTGATACAACTATATGGCTTAACAAGCATCTCCATTCATTCTGTAGAAATATCTATATTTATATAATAATCCTTATAAACAACACTAAATTAACCCATTTTTATACAGATAGAGTAGGGTATCTTGGAAAGTTAATTTATTCCCATACGGTACAAGTCTCCTCTCCATTGGAAATGACTCATTCCATTGTGCCTCAAATGCAAATCATCATGCAACAACCCTCCGCCACATACACTCGTTATGCATGTGACTCCCTCTATTCAATTTTACCAAATTATCACTTTTCGTTTGGCAGTGCTCATGTTTAGACATTTCAAATTTTGCTTTCATGTGCTTCGTAGTTGTATCTTTAACAGTTATACTTCTGAAGTGGATTTTTAATCCATTTTGATTAAACTTCAGGAGTAGGTGGTTGACCCATATAATGATCAATCTCTTGGCGAATAATCACAGATAAATTCAACAATGGGTCACCCTCATTTGCAGCCAGTAAAAAAGTGCTTTTAGTATGTGTGAGACCCAAATTGGTCACAATTCATGATAAACAATAAATCAAACATTGTTTGAGAGATAAATACAAACATCTGAAAAAAAAAAAAGACTGGAAAGTAAATTGAACATAAATTTGTCAGTTGTATGGATAAAACATCACATATCTGAAAACGCTGTACTAGGCCTAGGTGGGGCATAGGAAGACATGGCAAATTCCGGTGGTGGAAAAAGGCTATGAAAATCTTCATCAGGACAAACAAGTTTGGATTGTTCATGAGGAAGTGGGGGAGAACGAGGATCACAGGATTTCGGGGAAAATTTTGTTTCATGATAGTTCTTCTTATTATTATTTAGTTTTCCTACCTTCCCTGGATATTAGGGTTCATGCTGAACATTTTGCTTCCCAATTGGTTGAGAGTGCCAGCATGCTTTGCCTCCACAGGCTAGGGGTCAGTTTGCTCTGCATACCATCATGTAAACTGTTTATTTCTAGACTCTCAGTTGTTGGGGTATATTTTGCCAGCTTGGGGGGGGGACTCCCTGATTTTTCAGTGCATTTAACAAATGCCCAATTTTCACGCCTTTGTCTTGCTTCCTTTCTATGGTATTTATCTACCATACATCTCCTTTCAGAGGCTACGCACCGAAATCTTGAGGGTTTTTCAAGAGCTAGCCTTTCCCTTATTACCTCCAAGTTGGCTCGTTTGTCATTCTCGTCTCTCACCTTATACACATGGTTTCTCTTTAGTTGGGATCTTCTGGGTCATGGTGCAGCCTTGTCACAGTTCGTTTGCTGATCTCTTATCTCAGGGAATTTCATATAGCCTTTTTTTCTTAGGCAGCATGTTTTTAACCATATCCCGGATACTTTGGAATCATGAGTGGAATCCCTGCATCAACTCTACCCTTTCTTTCGTAGCTTGTTTGTTTCAGTCAGAATCATGACAAGCACGTATTCTTGTTTTCCATTCTAGTCCTTCTCAGCCCTTACCTGTTCCTTCTTCCAGGGGTTCTGTATCTCATTGTTTTCTTAGATGTAGATCAGCATGACACCAACAGTACCAGTGACTCCCTGGTGGGCTCCAGTCCAGTGGGAGCTCGATGGTGTGACTTTGTTCCCCTTTGGCAATATTTCATCACAGATCAGATTTGGGTTCTCTCAGATGGACTTGTCCAACAATTCCTTTCTCATCCTCCTTTGTCACAGATATCCATTTCCTTCCCTCTGCTTTGAGATCCAATTACCAACCAGCATCTGTTGGAGGTGGTTTAAGAGCTTGTGTCTCAACAGATAATTTAACCTTTGAATCGTGTTTTGGTTTTTATTCCACATTGTTTGTTGTCTCCAAGAAAACCAGAGACTAGTGGACTGTGATAGATCAATCAATTTCTCATCCTCAGGTTGGCTTTTTCTCCAGGTTTATGGATGACCAAGATGGACGTCGTGAATGCTTACTTACATATACCGATAGCTTGGCAGTCTTTATGTATTGTTCATCTTGGACAAGAAGTGTCATAGAAACATTAAAAACGCTTCATTTTACTGATTCACGTTTATATTACTGAAATCTAAACATGTTAACAAAAAAAGAATGTTTTTTTCATGGTTGCACTGCTTGTTTAAATTTACTAATATAATCATTTTGATCATATGGATATACTTATACTATTATTTTACTATTACTATTACTTATACTATTATTTAAGCTTTCATTTTATCTCCCTCCCCCTCATGGATAATATATTTTATTAGAAAAAAGTCATTAACTGTGAGTATGAATATAAGAAAATAATATTATAAAACCAGACTTGCTTGGAGCAAGGAACTGTTACCTTGGCCCCATTTTGTATGATTAATTGATATGTTAAGTAGTACAATCATTGAATAAATATTTTATCCTGTTTCAGGTATACACATGGGGCTTCACTGTACAATCATTCTGTGGCACCACAAATATATCTGTCATCTATAATGCCTTCACCATCACAAAACTCCACTTCGTCTCAAAGTAATGATTTCTTAGAAGTTATTTAGCTTTATAATAGTATGCAGGTATATGTGTCAACAGCTATGTTTTTGAGCATTACTCAACCTTTTTATTAGTGCATTTCAGACTGTCATTCAATAAATAAGTTACTGCACTGAAACATTTGTGTGTGTGTATTGTTATGTAAATGTCAGCTTATTTTGAATCAATTTATAACATTTTTATAGATTTAAAACAATTAAATTTGATATATCTTTTGTTTATATAGTAGTTTAGAATTTTCAAAAAACATTTAGTTATTACTTTACAAAAAAGATTGAAAGGAGTTATGTATTTGAGCAAAATTATTACCAAAAGTTATCTAAGGCCATTTTAACATTTGGTCATTCAATCAATACTAATATAGCTCTAATTATATTTCTTAGTCTGCATCTTTATATTGAAAATATGAAAAAAATCGACTTCTTTTAAACAATGCTAACTGTTATTTCTAAAACAATTATAATTTAAACTATCTCATTAAACATGAATGTTTAAAAATATTTAAAGATAACTTCCTATAGTATGCTTACATAAGCATTCTTATATTTAAGTAAAGACCATTTTTTAATTCAGAAAGATCAAACAAATATATTAATTTATAATGAAGAAATATATGTGATTAGAAATCTTTTTTGAATTTTTAGCATTGACCAATCCATTTGGAAAAAATAAACAAAAAATCTCTTAGTTATTTTAGTATAAGTAGTTTGATAGTTTTTCACTACTAATAGTAAGAATGGAAATTATTACATAGTTGTGTCAGAGTTGCTATTTAAAGGGTTCAACATGATTGTTAGTTTCTTAAATTCTTGTATGAACTTCAAATTTATGAAGAAATTATTATTGATTTTTTAGATATTATACCATATACATTAGCGAAGGCCTCAGAAAGTAATTCTGATGAATCAACTTCTCTACTGCAAAGTGTCACCACCACACTTTCTTCGACTCCTTTCTCACAAAGTGGAAGACCTAACAGAATTAACCGGCAGCCTATAGGGCTTCCACCTGGTTGCTCCAAGGGAAGTTTTACCCAGGAAAATTGTCCAGAAATATGTTGTGAAGTAGTATCAAGCAATAGAGAAATTACTTCTTCTAAAACAAATCCCAGGGAATCTATACGGGGGAGGCAACTCCATGCACCAAGTGCCACAAGTAAAACTTTTTTTAAATAAATCATTTAATACATAGGATGTATATATGTGATGCATTTAGTTGTTAAAAAGTTAGCAAGTGCTAATGGGCTAACACTTTTGCTCAGATGGTAGAGTATTCCCCTTGAAATTGAAAGGTCTTATGTTTGATTCCAACCTGAGGAAATAATATATAAGAATAATAAATTAGACTAGTTCAGAAATAAATATATTGTAGTTGTTTAGATTCTTAAAAAAATGTGATTTATTAGTTATTTTGCTCAGTTATTAGAACATACACTTGATTTGTAAAAGGTTTTGAGTTTGATTTTGAGCCTAGGAAATATAAAAATAGGATTATCACACTCAAGTAAACTAGATTAATCCACTAGTATTTAGTGCTAGCTAGTAGAACACTTAACAACTCCAACTACCAAATGTATTCATAATTTCTTAAGATATTGCTTAAGTTTAAGGAACATAATGATCTAAAATTAATAAAAATAAAAATTATAAAGTCAAATCAAGTAGAATTACTTCTGAAATACTGATAGCATTTTTTTATTGAGTTGCTCTCATATTGTCAGCAACCATGTAATTAAAGTTCTAAATGTCCTTGATAAAATGCAAAGCATGCATCAGCAATTAAGCTGAATTCCCTTCTCGAGTAGCTCAAATGTTATGACATTCTTGCAGACATTCATACCTGGCCATCTACTATCTCATTTGACTATCTTCAGGAGTTGGTGACTTAGTATTTCTGGGTTTTTTCAACTTCTCAATACATTGCTTTATGTACTTATTTCATGATTGTGGCTTATCTGCTTCTTCTGTTACTGGCTGCAGATCTGCTACTTCAGATTCCACGGAAGACATCTCACTCTTTTTTCCTCATTCTTAACACTGTTCTCAGTGGGAAATTTGGTATTTTCATACAAAGTCTCACTTCTCCTTCTTTTGAACCTTTAGTGAGTTGCTCGCTCTGCCATCTTTCACTGAAGACATGTATTTTCTTCTGTTGCTTGCTTCCCTGTATAGAATATCTGATATTTATACCTTCTGTGCATCTTTTTTGTTTTTTTAGGAAGGCTATACACTTATATCTTGATAAAGATTTCCTACCAAAAACTTGGGCTGCAAATGAAGGTAACCACTGTTTTTCAACAGTTGTGTTACCTACTCTGACTGGTTCAGACTGAATATTGCTATCTATATCCTATAAAAGCCATCCATTGCTGTAATGCATAAATGCAATCTTTCAGAAGGACTTAAAATAGGTTATTTATACCTTATAACAAATCTCACACTACAGATTGTTACAGACAGGATTTTTTGCAAGTTATTACTTACCCTTGCATTTAGTGTTGGATATACAAGACTGTTCAGTTTAAGAATTATTATTTAGCTTACTTAGCAAGTTAATATTTCATGATTATTTAGTTTCATAACAAGAGTGTAAAAGTTAATTATTTTAAAAGCAATAGTTATGACAAGGTTTGTTACATAATTCTGTATGAATCGTATGTTTTGTATGCATTTTGATTGTTGTACTAGGTTTTTGTAATATTGTTAACATTAACTTACTTAAGCTTCTAAGTTTTTTTCATTATGTGAATATTGTTGCCACTAGAGGGCTAGATATTTCTCGATTTTTCTGTTGCATATTACAAATACGGGCAGATACAAAGTACAAGTTAGAAGTTAGTGAAAGTAAGTAAACAAGTAAAAGTAAGTTAAGTTAGACTGTGTGATTGTTAGTTTAGCAATACTGGGCAATATTTAAAGTGACTTTCTTAGTGGTATTGTAACAACAGAGATAAAGGAGAAGAATTGAACCCACCCGTGTGGACTGTAACAAAAATGGAATTATTTAAAGCTTTAGATACAACTGTGATAACCAATAGTGTAACAAATTTTTATACATATGTTTGACTTGTTTTGAACATATATTATTTTAAAACAAATGGATTATGTGCTGTCCATTTATTGTTGAAATTCATCGCCAACAACTCACAGACACCTAATGTAAGAGAATCCTGGCTTATATATAAAACACCTGACATACAGTCTCTTCTTCTGTTAGGAGAATCTGCATTTATAGGGGTTCTCACATATTATTTAAACCTCTGTAATTATTCTAAATACAATTCCACTCTCTCCATTGGTGTTCCATAAGAGTGTGATACCCTCTGGAAGTGGACAGAGGATGTTATTGGGTGGTTGGCAATGCCTCTTTGTGTACTTTTCCCACTTCTGGATGCACATCCTTACATAAGTTTGTAATACATGAGGCACAAGTTACTTGATCTCAGTAGATGTTCTCATAGCTCATAATTCTACCTCATTTGAATATTAATATTTAGGATTCAAATGAAGTAGATATTACCTCTGAAATACTGAAATACATTTCTACTCACTTCTCTACTACTGGATGATACATGGTTTTTCCATCATGACTACAAATATAAAACTTGAATTACGGTGGTAATTAATGCAGAGTTTATGTAAGTTATTATGATGCAAGCACAATATATCACTTAGAAGGTGTAATCATGAGAATCTAGATTTCTAGGTAAATTGGCACATGCTCTGTATTGTATCAAGAAAGTTCAGAACTTTAAATCACATAGTTTTTGACATTACAAGAGCTACTCAAGAAGGAGAGGATTTTAGTATTTCAGTACCTGATTGAAATTTATTTTACTCCTAAAAATCTAAAAATTGATAATTATTAGAAAATATCGTTTTTGCATGTTATATTTACGGTTAGAAACATTTCATACTTGGCAATTAATTGAGGCATATGTAATTAACAACAGACTTACATTCACATTTCATGTTTGAGAGCTTCATCTAAATACATAAATTATACAAGACAATATGTATTAGAAAAGTTTTTGATAAAACATTGAACTTCTGTACATCATATTTGGCTAATGAGAACTCTATGAAGTTAAACTTATGAATGAAAGTCCTGAAAACAACATACATTTGAATAATATTAGTTCCCTGAAGCTCCCCATGTGAGTCCTCGAAAATATATTTCAGTAGTTATGCACTATTGTCCTTCTAAGTTTTGTTTAAAATTAATGTATTTTTAGGCTGACTTCTAAAATAATTAAGTCATATTATTAGTTCTGTATTGTTTATCTTTAGAAGTATGTTTCCAGTGATCTAAGAACTTTTTGGTTTCTTGATATTAAAAAAGCTCATTCAGATTTCCATCTAAAATGCTTAAAAATATTTTTCTATAATTTTCTTGCATGTCATAAATAAATTTAACTTTTTATGTATTGACCAACTATTTTCTGAAATAAAAAAATGGAAAACTTTTTAATGTTGTTTAATAACTAGGTTTGGTTTGTTTATTTTTTCATTAACCCTATTGGGTTAACAGCAAGTTTACAGGTTTACAAGTCAAAACTTGGGGTTTGATTCCTTCTAATGGACAAAGTGCAGGTAGCCCATTGTTTAGTTTTGTGCTAAAACAAAAAAATACAATAAAAATTCTATCATTAATAGTTCACTGCTGAAAATGTCTAAAAAATGCATTTTTGTTTTCAAAACTTACATCAAGTTTGAGGGATATTAGATAAGTTTAACCCAGACAAGTTGTTTTGTATTAAGTTTTGAAAGTTACATCTACCCCCATAAGTATATAGCTCACATATCTACAAATGATTATTTCAAATATTTAGTACCATAAAAATCATGTCATAATTAATTACAAACTTTTATTGTTAAGCAAGACATAAATAACCTGTATGCATAATGTAACTGGTGTGTTAATTTTTAGCTCTTAACAACAGCAATGCTGCAGAAGAAGCAAGCAGAAGTGATCACATAACAACTGTTGGCAGTATTTTCTCACAAAACACAATGACTGCTAAAAAATCATCATCCATATATCCTGACCACAATTTCCAGAAGAAAATCAATAAGTTTGCCAGCCTTTCACCTAATGATGATGTAAATAATGAGTTGAACCAGAGTCCTGTCAATATTAACAGAAACACCACAAGTAGAGCTCAAAGCTCTAAAGCTAATTCTAATTTTGATGAAATATCAGCCAGCCAGAAAAACAATTCTCCAGCAGAAATAATAATAAGGAAAAGAAATTTGAAGTCCTACCCTGTTTCTTCTGGTAATACTCATGATCGTGTAAAAAGAGAGCAAACCAGCGAAACAGTGAAACTGATCTACAAACATGGGCATAAAAGTAAGTTCTTTGTTTTATATATATTTATATGAATATAAATGTATTACATGTGACTAAAAATTATTTTATGACATTTTAATAAAAATTCGTCTTGAATGACCAATTTCCTTGAAAATACCTTTTCACTGGTGTGAAAGGCAATATATATTCAGCCTAAGTTGTTTTTCAAACTATCAAATTGTATATTTAAACCTATAGCAAAGTGTTCATAGGCTGGTCACAGGTAAAATATTAAATGATTAATAGATTATTACAGAGTCAAATGCTAAAACGTTTACAGGCTGGTTGAAGGTCAAATAACAATAAAAATATTCACAGACTGGCATTGGGGTAAATTTCAAAACTACATTCAAAAGCTGTAGCATAAAAGTGATTGAATCATATATGAAATATCTCAGAGGCTGGTAATGAGTCTATGATAGAATTCACAAGCTGTTAATGAGTTAATTCCGATACTGTACTTACCTCCTCTCACGATATTAGCTATTCTCATTCAGTGCTGCCATCTACATGCGAATTTTTCTTATGCATTCCATAAGCCTTGTGTTCCCCCTTGTTGAAATTACTATATTCCAACATGTCGTGCAAATCATCATGCATCATCTCTTAACCAATAATAGCATGACATGCTCATGTGATGCATGTAACTCCCTCTATCGAACCTTCACTCCTTGTTTGGCAGTGCTCGTGTTCAGACGTTTCGAATTTTCTTTCATTTGCTCGTTGACGTAGCTTTAACAGTTTTATTGCCGAAGTGGTTTTCAATTCGTTTTTACTTATACAGCTGGCAAACTTATTTTCAATTATTTTGCATGTGATATTATCTATCAAACATTTTGTTTGATTTCTTATTTCCAATGAATTTCGAGGTTAATGTTACCACTTCGAGTCTCACACCTATTATAAGCACTTTTTCACTGGCTGCAGATGGAGGCGACCAGTCATAGGACTTACCTACGATTATTCACTGGAAGAATGATCATTATATAGGTCAAACACCTTCTCCTGATGTTGCCCCACTTCCTCATGAACAGCCCCCCAGTAGCACAGCGGAATGTCTGCGGACTTACAATGCTAGAATCTGCAGATAGCCCATTGTGTAGCTTTGTGCTTAATTACAAACAATCCTTATGAACAATTCGAACCTGTTTGTTCTGGTGAAAATTTGATAGTCTTTTTCCATCACTTGATTTTGCAGTGTTTTCCTATGCCCCACTTGCAGAATCAGCTAGGCTTACTACGGCGTTTTTGGTTATATTTCTCAAGTATGTGATGTTTTATCCTTTTTCTTGGATATTAGGGTTCATGTTGCACATTTTCTTTCCAATTGGTTGAGGGTGCCAGCATGCCTCACCCCCATGGGCTATGGATCAGTTTGCTTTGGCATACCATCATACAGACTGTCCATTTCTAGAATCTCTGTTGTTTGGATCTATTTTGCCTGTATGAGGGAACTCCCTGATTTTCTGGTGCATTCTGCCATGCCCAGTTTTCATGCCTTTGTGTTCCCTTACTTCCATTCTACTGTATTTCTCTACCATACATCTAATTTCTGAGGCTATGCGCTAAAATCCTGATGGTTTTTCACGAGACAACCTCTCACTTCTTCACTCCATGCTAGTTTGTTTGTTATCCTTAGCTCTCGCCTTCCACACATGGTTTCTTTATTGTTGGGATCTTCTGGGTTATGATGCAGCTTTGTCACAGGTTCGTTGACTGCCCACTTATCTCAGGGTATTCTGTTTAGCCCTTCTTTTCTTAGGTGGTATTTTTCGACCATATCCCAGGCACTTTGGAATTATGAGTGGAATCCCTGGATCAATATTCTTCTTGGATACTCGTTGGTCACAATCGAAGTCACTACAAGCCCCTATTCCTGTTTCTTGTCCTAGTCCTCTCAGTCCTTACCTGTTTCTCCTTCCAGGCATTCTGTATCTCGACATTTTATTTGACATAGATTGGCACAACACCGTCAGTACCTGCGACTATCTGGGGAATTCTGGTCCAGTGGGAGCTCCATTGTGCTACTTTGTACCCCTTTGGCGATATATTTCGTCACAGATCAGTTGGTTATTAGGATTCTCTTGTATGGACTTGTCCTCCAATCACTTTCCCCTCCTCCTATGTCACAGATACCATTCCTACCCTCTGTCTCGTGATCCTATTACTGGCCACCATTGTGCAGAGGCTCTTCAAGACCTTCTGTTTCAGCTGGTCTTTGAAACTGTGAATCATCTTTTCCAGTTTTTATTCCTGGGTGTTATTTGTCACTGTGGCAACTGCAGACTGTAGGTGTGTCACAGATTGTCCTGCTATATTCCATTTCTTCATCTTTCTCATTTTACCATGGAGTCATGCTTCACCATCAGGTGGTCTTTTCCTCCAGGCTTAGAGATGACCAAGATGGATGTTGCATCTGTTTATTTGCATATATTTTTAGCTCAGTTGTCGCAACCGTATCTTTGGTTTGTCATTTGAGGGATGATTTATCAGCACTGCATACTACTCTTTGGGCTTGCTTCAGCCTTGTATGTTTTTATTTAGTTCAAGCCTTTGCTCATTCAATTTTGTTCTTCAGAGCTTTCAGTTCCATGCTCTTACTGCTAGTGGGGTTCTATCACTTTTGGGGATGTGGTCTTCCACAACTCCCCTTATCCTCTTAGGCTAGGCTCATATGCAAACTCTTCAGTGAGCTCTTCATGACAAATGATTTCTTGCATGGATTCCTTTGCATGCTCTTATTACTCTTCCTCTTACCATATTTGATGATCTGCATTGGTGGTTGGACAGGCTCCACACATTGGCTTCGAGGTGTTGGTTTGCGTCTGAGAAGTCTTCTCAAATCTATACTGGAGCTTCTCGTGGTTTGTAGGGCCTTGGATCATTTCCTCCATTGGGCCAGACATTGTTGGGTCATGATTCTTCCCAATCATTCTACAGTGGTTGCTTACCTCAATCGCAGGGTGACACCCATTCTTGATCCCTATGTTTTCACACATTGGATCTTTTTTCTAGACCTACATGCAGGATATCCATATCGTGGTGTGTCTGGTTCTGGGTGTTTTCCATCTTGTTGCAGATTGTCCTTTCTGTCCAGACAGACTCTATGCAATGGAGTGTTCTCTCAATCCTATGGTTATTCAGTAACTTTGCCTTCAGTGGAGTATTCCTCACATCAATGCCTTTGCCATATCCCTCAACTACAAACTCCTTCTGTTTTGGTCTTCCATTCCTCATCTGCTTACCCTGACTGTTGATGCTTTCAGTCAAGATTGGACCAATCATTTCCTATATGTTATCCTCCCATTCAATTCCTTCTCTGGGTGATTTAGATCATCCATACTTTGTCATGTGAGGTCCTTCTGATTGCTCCTTACTGGTCAGCTCCATTGAGGTTTCCATGCTTTCTTCAGTTCAACCTTACTCCTCTGCTACCCCTTCCTCTGTCTTTCTCCTTGCTTTGACAAACTCGGTCATCATTGCTTCATCACGTTCTTCCAGTCTTTCCTCTTCGTGCTTGGTTTTATCCGGTCCTAGACAAGGAGATAGGGATTATCCCAAAGTGTAACTTCTCTACTGGCCCATTCCATCAGCCCTCCCTACATAGAAGTTTATTAAAAGCAATGGGATGTTTTTCTCTTTTTGATAGGGTTTCCTCTGTCTCCTGGATTTCCAATTATCAAGAGACTTTCTCCCACACCTACCATTTTTTCCCAATACCGTAGCGTTTTCCTCTCCTACACTTTCCCTGTTGCTCTGTTCCTTCCAGATTATTCATCCTCTGTAGTGGGCTGCCCTTCCTGACTGAAATGTTCAGGTAGTCCTTCATTGCCTTTCTTTACCTCCATTTGATCCACTTTTCACGTGCTCCTTGTTTCACCTTTCCTTTCAGACTTGTTTCTTTTTCTTGGCTGGTGGATATTGGTGGTTAGATTTGTTTGCCATCAATGTTTCACCTACTCTTTATCTTCATACATATATTTTCCTTTTCCAGATTGATCTTTCCTCCCTCAAACCTCATCAGCATGGGAGGGTACCTCCTCCTTTTTATTGATTTCCCTTTTTTCCATTTCCCAGCTTGTCCTCAGCCTGATTCAGATAGCCTTCTATGTCCTATACATGCTGTTTGGTGTTGTATTACCTGCACAGCTTCCATCTTTGGTGCCTATTCCCACTTCTTTATTCCATGGTTATCATCCTTTGTTTGTGATCTTTCTCCTCTCACCCTCACCAATTAGGTTTGGCTTTTGTTTCGATTGGCTGATTCCTCTCTTACGTTGTCCTCCTGTACTTTGTTCCAGGTGTCATCTTATCATAAGACACCTTATCTTTTCTCTGGCATTTCATCTTCATCATCAGTTTGAGGAAATTCTTCCGCAGCACATGTTGATTACACCTCATATCTCTGTCTCCCTTTATTTAATCTATACAGCAGTTTCTTCTTCATTGGGTTCTCATCTTCCACCTGCAGCCATTTTTCCCAATTCAGTGTGATTATTTTTCTTTTCAGGGGACCTTGCTTCATTTCTCATTTTATGGATCCCACTCAGTGGCGATCGGTGCCTGACCAGGTATTTTTTAACTAAATCTGCGCTGTCAGCCATGTTGACTCGTGCTCTCTTGTCCATGGTTTTGAACACTCACTGTCAAGATGGGGTGTTCCACAAGATCGCTTGAGGGTGCATGACCTAATGATATTTTGCTTCATAAACATTCCCATTCCAGACCGTACCACCCATGGACTACATGAGTAAAGCAGAAGGGGATTGCTGCCTATCCCTGCCATGCCTTGAGTGAATAACTCAGTATGGTCTGCTTTTCAAATAAAGTTTTGTGGTCACCCATTGCACTGTCTCCAGTGATGACGTTTCTCTGGGCATTGTCACCCTCCTTACCATTTCCAGTTCCAAACTGTTGGGGTGGTTGACCATGGAGACACCCTCCTGGATGCATTTCACAAGGAAAAGATTCAAACCATTCAGTTGGAAGTAGGGCAGTTATGCTCTGCTGGTATAGGTGTGACATTGTCTCCAGAGAAGTTGAGCCATCACCTTGCTGGTTGACGTGGCCTCCTGATCACATTTACACACCAACACTGGAGTTGAGCCATCTCCTTACTGGATGAAATAGCCTCCTGACACCATTTACACAACCACTGAAGTCGAGCCACCACCTTCACAGATGATGTGGCCTCCTACTAACATTTACACAACATCTGGAGTTGAGCTGTCACCTTCTGGTTGACATGGCTTCCTGATACCTATTACACACTCACTGTAGTTGAGCTGTCACCTTCCTGGTTGATGAGGCCTCCTGATACTATTTACACAACCAAGGGAGTTAAGCCATCACCTTATGAAAATGATGTGGCTTCTCGCTTTCTTTTACACAAACACTGGAGTTGAGCCATCATCTTACTCGATGACATAACTACCTGATACACTCCACATAAACACTGGAGTTGAGCCATAGCAATTGCAGTTCCCCCCTTCAAGTGGGAGATCTCAACCTACCTTCGTGTGGAAGTAGGTTCCCAGTGCAGAGGGTTTGGATTAGAGTGAACCGATCAACATAAGTCCTCACATGAGTACAGATTTGTTTATCTTTGGTCACAGCAGGAGTACCTGAAGAAGAATAGTCAACTATTCGAAAGCGCTCAAGTTTTGGGTCTCTTTTTGAAAATATTACAGCTTTTGTAGGTGATCCTGTGTGCTAACTACTTAACCTGGATTCATATGTAAGAAAATGGCATTATTTCTATTTCATAGAAGGTTCCTAGGTTTTGGTAGATAGAAAGAAAAGGTTTCAATTTTAGTTAGAAGTACGTATATAAAAAAATGGAGCAAGTTCTTTGTTTCCCATTCAACTTTAAAATTTTATAGTTTACAGTTTGCTTACTCAAAGAAATATTGGAAATGATCTCTGTTGTTTTGCCTACACTAGTTTTAGAGCCTTTGTGAATCTTAGTTTTGAATAGTCTTGGCTGAGAGGATGTCTTGGTGTTTTTAGTGTATGTGATATTGTTGGTGACTTGGAGGTTCTGTTTTTGTGTGTTGATGGCTAAAAGATGCCATGTTATCTGGAATTCACATTATTAGTGTGAGCTGAGAATCTCTGTTTCAATTAAGTCCTGGTTAGATTTCATGACATCTTCATTATCATAAATTGTTCGCTTAATTCTGGAACTATATCTATACAAATTGCCTACAATTCATTATGAAAAGTTTCATCCAGCAACTATATGTGATTTAATTAGTAATTGTTGGAGTGCCTCAGTTTTCTTGATAATACTTAAAATTAGCATAAATAGAAATACCATGTGGTGTTAGAAATTTTCATATTTTATGCTACAAAAGTATTCTAGTATTACGCATAAGAGTACCACCTGTGTAAAAGAAACTACTCGAGTCAAATTCTTTGTACAGTAGCATAGCTAGAAAAAATGTTTTTCATTTTCAGTTGTAATTGGCTTTATTGGATACTTTATATACAGACACAATATGTATATTAAAAAGAAGCCTTAAGAACCACATTAATGCTGCCATCTTTTTTGTAAAAAAAGATTGTTCTACTTTTAAATGAATGTTGTTCACGAATTTTATGTTACTGGCATGAGTGATTTTTACTTCAGGGATAGATTTGCCACCTAAAAATATTTTTTGTGCTTTATATATATGTATATTTATTTATTTATTTATATATATAATATTTAATTTAAATAATCAGCTAATACTTAATTTATTTGCTAATCACATTATGAGAGCTGACAGTTTGAGGGAGAAGACTCCTCATCAATTATATAATTACCTAATTATCAAACAGCATACTTGCACTTATAAACAAACTACACACTTGAAAACTGATATCAATATTACATGTAAAGCTAGTTATGTGTATTAAAATAGAATAATGAGGTGAAATTTGTTGGCTAGTATACCAGAAAACATTGGTAACTATACGTGTGTCTATGTATATGTATACGTATGTATGTATATAAAGCTTATAAAAACTTTAAATATAAATTATTGATTTAACAAATTAGATCAAAAAAATAATATAAAATTATGTCTCAAATACCTGTGTTTTTTTCCATTATATATAACAGATTTATCACCTGAATTGGCAAACACAGTAGAATCTATCAGGATTCTAGAATTGAATTCCACTCTTGGAGTTGACTACTGTGTGCACCAGTGCATTAGTGGTCCATGGTATACCTATGATATTCCTGTTTCTCGCTACATGACCTTGAAAAATTTAACGGTACAATTTACGTAAGTCACTTTTGTACTTTTCGTAATGTAAAAGAAATGTATTGGTCAGTCATTTTTGATTTAATTAACTAAACTTTATCTTTCTAACTAAGTTTTATGTTGCATAGAAGATAGCTTTACAGATTATTCATCATTTTTCAACATAAGAACTTAAATTGTTACTAATTTGTCTACATGGGTTAAGTATCATTAACTGAGTAACAAAGCTGAATCTGATAAGTTTAGGGCAAAATTATTCTAAAACATAGATCAAGCATTAAGTTTTAAAATTTGTTCATTGACATGTAATTTAATTCCTAATTAAACTATTTTACACATCTTTAATTCATGAGATTTGCTTTGTTTTTTCAGTAATCAAGCTTATTTTTGTATATTCATATTACTATATTTTATTATTTTTTAGCAAATGAAAAAAATTAGTAAACACCCACAAAAAGTCACATTTGACACCTCTATTCCAAAAGTCATGTGTATAAAACAAACTTTATGTATATGTATGTAAATGTATTTACAAAAATTGCTTGTACACAGAAGATAAAACGTGTACTGTAAGTCTAACAGAGCTGTGTGTATGATAAAATTGGCTGTATTTAAAAGACCAACGAGCATAAACATAGTGAAGTTGAGCTATACCAGCTAAATAATATGATTAAACAGTTTAAAAACTTTGTCAGTACCTCCATTCTCCAGCACCTGCTGTTAAGTGCTCATGCTATACCCAATGACATTAGAAATCAGGCTTATGATGCTAAAAATTTGAGTTTTGATACCACTGGTGGGCAAAGTACAGATAGCCCATTGTATAGCTTTGTGCTAAAAACAACCAAATCAAAACCAAAGACTCAAGAAATGTACATTAACTTATAATGGAACATGTAAACACATTTTCTATAATGCTTCAAATGCACAGTATCGTTTTTTAGCCTTGTACTAATTCCTATTATCTCACTAGAATCAAAATTAGAAATCATAAACGTAATATAACATCAACATAGAGCTTAGCCTTTCTCAATAATCTGATTTGTTAAAGTTGGATATGCAGCTTTACTAGTATTTTTGCTATTATAATACTGAAGATACTCAATGATTATGAACCATTAGAAAGACTCCTGCTGGGGAACAATAAATGCAGAAAGGTTAACCCTTAGGATTATATTACTAAATTACTAACCCTTTTAAATCTAACTTATAACCTTACTTTTTATAATCCATTACAAAAAAGTAATCACAGAAAATATGTTTCCTTAAAATATATAATTCCTTTTCCAACTTATTGTAAATATATATATACAAGTAGAGTAAGTGGATGTAGAGCTCTAAAACTAATATCACAAGAACCAATATAATACGTTTTTTCTACTAGTATGGTGTAGTTGAAGAATAAAAAAAACAATATTTTATTTTAGTAACAACAAGTTTAGTAATAAAAAAGCACTAACTTTGCATTCATGACAAATGCTATATATATTGGACATAATGTATTTTCTCATTATTAATAATTCAGTTATATATATAATAAATTTTTTAACCCAATTCATGTATGTACATTGATATAAATGTATAAGTATCTTAACATCTTGAAATTACATAAGACAACTCAGGTTAGTTGTTAATACTATCATATCATTAGCATTTTTTGACCTCTACTCTAGCTGTTGATATTAAATGAACACCATATAAAACATGGAATATGTAACCCGAGTTATAAACCCATTTTGAAAGCTTATTTAGATCAGTTCATGAGGTTTAAAATTATAAGAATTGATTTTAAGTTTGTTTGAATGTTTTTCATGATTTTTAATAAAAGAAAGGATGAGTATAATTTTGCTTTAAAAAATTAAAATTTAGTATGTACAAAAGATAATAATTAATACTACATAAAGTCTGGGACAAAAATACGTTTAAAATATGCACTGTTTGTATAAAAGATTAACCTTTTCAAATAACGTTTCCCATTCATAGCTCTCAAGTATTATGTATGCAAACCTTTATGCCCATCCAATCAATAGTATCAAACCTATCAATATTTTATCCATATGGAAATGTTAGAAACAAAAGTGCATGCAAATAAATATTACAATGGCTTTGTGCATTTTTCTGAACAAAATACTTAGGTTTATGAAGCATCTTTATTTGTATGGTGGCCATAAAATACAAAGAATCATTATAAGAAATTATCTTATGTGCTTGATCTCATGCGATTATACAAATTTCAGTGTATATGTCCAAATCATAATGTAAATAAGCACTGTGTGGTTTTAATCATTTATTAACACTAACTCAATGATTGGTTACAAGCAATAACATAATGAATCTAAGTTTCAAATGGACAGCAACTGCCTGTTGTAGAAACCTACAAATGCAGAGGACAACGTTTTGAAAGTCTTCTGCCTTTCACCTTCAGACTTTCGAAACATCATTCTCTACATTTGTAGGTTTCTACAACAGGCAGTTGCTATTTATTCGAAACTTAGATTCATTATGAATACTCTGCCTAAACAACCTATCAAAGATAAGCAATAACATAATTATATTTAGTGACAAGATAAACTACAGAATGAATGAGCAGTTTCATTCCCTCATGTCCTGGTAATTTTCCACTTGCAAATTCCAATATATGGGAACACTGAAGATTATTACAGTTTTATTCCCACCCACATTAGCTTGCTATGAATTTTATGCATAGTACATCAGCAGAAAGTACATTAAATGTCTTTTTATAAATAATACATAAAATTTCTAAATGTGTGTATTTAGTTATAAGATGAACATCAGTTGATAATATGGGCAGAACACAGATAACCCACTGTGCAGATTTGTGCTTAACAAAAAAAAAAACTTTTCAAAATTATTTGTAGAATCATAACCTTTACAAAAATTAAGCATTTCTGATAAAAGCTTAAGCCATGACATACTTCTCCTGAGTAGTTAAAGTGATATCAATAATTTAATGGTTTAATAATAAAAAAGGTTAGCAAACAGAGTATACACACACACATGCTTTGATGTTAATTTGTTTTTTACAACTTCTGAATGTTATCTTAAGTTCTGGTAATAAAAATTACATTCTTAATATTTCTTCTAATCTTTATTATACAGTAAAAGTTAAAAAAATAGTCTAAACACTGAGTGCTTTTAAAAAGTAGCCTGTTTCAAAGTGTTAAGCTTTTTAGCATCATTTTATTTTATATTGGCTCTTTATTTATCCAACTTTGTTAATTTCCTATTTCAAAATGGCCTTACTCTACACTTTCAGTGTTTAAGCTGTTATACTTCAAATAACTGAGTTTTAATAATATCTGTATTACAAACTTCCCTGATAATAACAAAATTACAATACTTTATCATTTTCCTTTAGTTTAAAGCAGGCTTTACATATGGAACTATGCGCATCTGAAGAACCAGAAACTATCTGTTCAAGTGTGAGAACTGATTCACCTCTCTTTCAACAAAGAAATGTCCATTCTTTCTTGGTAATATTTTGTAATTTTCTAACGTTATTGCTCAGCAATATTAATTGATTTAGAAGTTTAGATATTCAACTTGTAGGAGCAGCAGTAAAGTTCTCACTATACACCAGCAGGTATATAATTTGATTTGGAAAATAACAATTATACCACTTATCAGAAATATGTTATAACCTTAAACTCTATTCTTTCTATTCTTATATATCTGAATAATGTTACAATGTTATACCATGCAATATGTATATATGTGTGTTAGTAGGTATTGATTTCGTTTTTTGGATTAACTAACCATAACTTTTCAAAGTTGTTTTTATTTGAAATTAACAACATTTTCATATTCACTCAGAAAAAAAAAGCTTTTAAACTAGCTTTCATGTAAAGTGATCTCCAGAATTAAACCATGTAAGGTATTACAGAAAAACAATTAACCAAAAAACGATGTGACACTGAATGATTTATGTTATTGTAATAACTGATTTTATTTGTCAGTGTAAGTAGTTATACAGATAGCTTATCCAGTTGATAATATTAAATATTTATAATTTTGAAAATATCCTAATTAGGTGTAAGAGAGAATATAGCTACCTTATGTTTAATTTGTTAATACAATTATTTACAGAACATACTTGAAACCAAAATATATGTTGGTCCTTACTTCATGACTTTCTAGGAGGTGTAATATTAATGAATATTTGGCATATTCATTTTTTGGAACTTACAAAACTTTCATGTTGGTAAGCTACAAAACCATACTATAGAAGTAGCAAATGTGATGTGTTGGCATACAATATTGCTCTTCCTTATTAATTGTTAATAACAGTCTAGCATTTCTAAGGTACTTATGTATAACAAAATTTTCACTACAACAACTTGTATTTATGTGGTTACATGTGGTAAAAATTTATATTTGTGCTGAAAAATGTTTTTTTTTAATCAGCTGACCAACAAGCTTGCAATGTTTCAAAACTCAGTTTCAAACTGTAATTTTTCAAAAATCACTTAACTCCATAACTGTAATTGTATTGTTCACTTTTAGCAAGAAAGCCCATCCTGGACCCTTCGAGTTGGTTGGTATTCAAGAAGCACTTATAGATTTCGTATTCATACCAAAAGACAGAATGCAAGGGTATGTTTTACAATGAAACATTTTCTTAGCTAACAAGAAATAGTGTTTTTATATATATACATGACACAATATGTATAGGCTCTAATTACATTGTAATGTCATATCTTAACTAGTGTAGTTAATATTCACTAAAGGATCTTAAGTTTTATTGCATGATTACTAATGGGTTTAACTTGAAATATGTCATCTTTACCAATATTTAATATATATATGTCATTCTTTATTGATACGCAATACATAAGTTACTTTTTATCAATACTCAATACATAAGTTACTTTTTATCAATACTCAAAACATAAGTCATTCTTTACCAATACTCAATACATAAGTCATTCTTTACCAATACTCAATATGTAGGGTCATTCTTTACCAATCTATAATAATAAAAGGGCATGTCTGTAGGTCTGTGTGTGTGTGTGTGTGTGTGTGACCACCATAACTCCACGAGGAAAGAACCTAGAAACCTGAAATTTTGCATCCATACTAAGTGGACCCTGAGGGTGTGCATCTAGGTGTTATTACTTATCCATGTATGTGTGCATCTTTCTGAGGCAAGCTAGCAAAAAACTATATAGAAAATATGTGACCACCATAGCTCCAAGAGGAAAGAGCCTAGAAACATGAAATTTTGCACCCATACTGAGGGGTGAACCTGGGCATTATTTATCTTATCCACGTGCGTTCACATGTGCATGATTTTAATGACTCAAGTTAGCAAAAAAACACATAGAAAAGAAGTAGTTCCTTATATTACAAATAGAAATCACACACAGACAGACAGACACTCATGTGCATGTGCACTTGCATGGCTATGTGATCACTATAGCTTCAAGAGGAAAGAACCAAGAAACCTGAAATTTTGCATCAATACTAAGTAGACTCTGAGGGTGTGCACCAAGGTATTATTACATATCCATGTATGTGTGCATCTTTTCATGAGGCAAGCTAGTAAAAAACTACATAGAAAATAGTATGTGACAACCATAGCTCCAAAAGGAAAGAGCCTAGAAACATGAAAATTTTGCACCCATACTAAGTGGACCATGAGGGTGTTCACCTAGATATTATTACTTATCCACGTGCAGCACATCTTATTATGAGGCAAGCTAGCAAAAAACACACAGAAAAGAAGTAGTTCCTTATATAACAACTTCTAATATATAGAAAAGCCAGTACATTTTGGCTTTTATGTCATGTTGCTTGGCAACAAAAGTATATAGGTTATACTTTTATGTTGAAATGGATTCAAAATACATACACTGACATAGTCATCTAGAATATATCAACCTAATAACCTGAGCAAAGCCGGGTACTTACACTTGTACTCAATATGTAAGTCGTTCTTTACTCATTTAATATATGTCATTCTTTTCCAGTACTCAGAATTAAGTCATTTTTCACTAATACTTAATAATATGTAAGTCATTTTTTACTAATACTTCAGTTTCTAAGTCATTCTTTATCAGTACTCAGTATGTGTTACTGATACTCAACATGTTGGCCCCTGAAGAAGAAAGGTTCACCTTTCAAAAGTGCTCGGGTTATAGGGTTTTTATTCATTTCTATTAATATGTATATATACCATTTAACTGACACTATTTAAGTATGAAGCTCACATTACGCAAGATAATCAGCTATAGCAATAATTTAAATTTTTATATTATTACATATTTATATGAATGTTTTTAATTGCACTGATTGTACTATATACAGCATCTTATTGTAACCACTATTACAGATAAACATAAATATACAGGTGTAAACTCTGCAATGTATTGCAATAAATAAATAAATTCCACTGATCATAAAATATATTTTTTAACTTTTATCTGCAGTATATATATTTTTTTGTTATTCTCCAAATATTTCTTCTAGGACAAGCTCAAGTTTTATGATACAAAGTAATAGTTTTGTAATTCTTTTAATACTGAAATATGAGCAGTTTCCAAACAAATATATATTTAAAAAATTAAACACATAGTTAATAAGGATATATCAGTTTTTAAGTTTATGTGAATAAAACTAAATACAAAATTAATTAATAAAAATTAAACTGTTTTTTAGTATTATATAACAAAAATTTCAATTTTGTCTTACTTTTACCTTTTTAGCCATGTCTTCTTCAGAGCAGTGATGCTGGTCACCTGTTTGTGGAGTACAAACTTATCTTTCATAGAGATTGTGGGATATGATATGTCCTTTTGAATAATCAAGACTCGGAAGGCATCATCAGTGATTAATATACAATTCAAGGAGATAAATACAAACCAAGCCAGCTTACCATCTAGTGTTCCTGTTGTGGGAAAGGATTGGGCAAACATTGGCAAATGAGTGATAACTGTCACCATTTTTCAAGGTGGAAATTACTGGCAGAAGAATTATATAACAGACAAAAACATTAGAGGGATTACTTGCCATTCCAACTGCAATGTTTTAAAATGATCTTGTAATGAAGAAAGAGTTTGCTATCAACAAAATTTATGTCCAAACATTGAAACTTATGTGCTTTAACATAAAGTAGAGATATAAGGTATTTTACTTCAAGTCAAGTACATAATAAGAGGACTATTTTTCCAGAGTGCAAGTATTTTCAAAGGATGGATACAATGGATAGTTTATTCTAAGAAAAGTGTAGAAGAGCCCACATTTTAATAAGCTCAACCATGACATGTAGCCACATTTCGAAACTTTATATAAGGCAGTCCAAAACTGCCCATTGTGCATGATGCCATTGTAATAGAAAATAATTGACATTTTCTTCATTGTAAAACTTTTATGTATTTCATGGGACCAAACTATGCTTGTTGAAAGTATTGTTAAAGAAGTGTCTATTTTGTTAAGTATCATTGAAGAATTTAAACAATTATATGAAATATCTCTTACAGTTTATTATTATTTGAAGCAGTGTATTGTATCGCACACTATTGTATACAAATAGTTCTTTACAGATCAAAAACAAAAAAATACTTCAAGTGTGATAATGAATATATTTTTACAAAAATTATTCAAAAAATACTTAGTTTTAATTTTGTTGCTCACTTCATAGTACTTCTCAAGTTGCAATGAAGAACGTTGCAACTTTTTTGAGTTATATGTAATGGTTAAATATGAATATAGAGAATATTTATAATTCAGAAGAAAATACTGATCATTTTTTTACAAGTGTGTGACCACTTTAGATGCAATCATGACATAATATGATTCAGTTTTTTAATGTCAAAAGTACTTCTTCCATCTAGAATTTATTTGGTAGTGCCTCTGCTTTGCATGCTTGTATACACACTTTGCTAATGATGTGCTATTACAGATTTTGATCTAATATAATCAGAAGAATACATGTACCCCTATAGAGCATCAATAACCAATCTCCAAGACTGCCTGAAACTATAAGATATGACATAAGTAATACATCAGAAGCAACATGTTTGTACATTTTAAGAGATCAGACATAACAATAAAATGATTTCTACATTTAGTATGCGAGTATTTATATGATCAACTAATCTACAAAGTTTAAAGTGATGGTAACTAGGAATACTTTCTTTTACACTCAGATCTTTTCTTATAAATATGTAACCACAATTTAATGTTCAACAACATCAGGCTCCTTATTCTTTTGAAAATAGGATACATTTATTCTTGGCAATTGTTCGGTATATTATTTATTTTTAAAATGACAGAATTTTGTGAATATAAAATACAACTTATTATTGTTAGCATCTCATAAAGAGAACTTTACACTGATTCACTGAAATAAATAAGGTCATAAAAAAAAAAAAAGTTGTCAATTTTAGAATTACAAAATAATTAAATTTATTTTCTTTCAATTTAATATATTTTTTCTGAATGTTGTTTAAATCTTTTTCTTTAAACTAACATTTGTGAAAATCACTAAGACAATACCTTTCCAACTTCAAATCAAATAACCAAATGTAATCCATTGTAGTTTTCCTAACAAAATTCCTCCCCAGTGGCACAGCAGTATGTCTTCGGACTTACAACCCATGGTGGGAAAACACAGACAGCCCATTGTGTAGCTTTGTGCTTAATTAGAAACAAAACAAAAAAACCTAACAAATTTAACCACAATAAAAATTGATAATTTACTGTTTCTATATAGTTAAGTTAGGAAAGAATAATCTTTTCTTTGTATATGGCTATTTTTATGTCCCAGTTTTATAAAATATTTATTCTTTGCTTTCATGTACACTTCCAAAAAAGATTCTTGGTAATTCTTCTATTAATCTGTTATATTAATAATTGTAAATGACAAAAAACACGCACACCAAGTAAATCATGACGACCTGAAATGACTTCGTTCTAAGCAGGTAGTTTCTAACCACAGATTTATTTTATTTATCTAAAAAAATACATAAACCCCAAAAATTAACAAACATATATTTTCAAAATAATATACCTTAACCAAATGTGCCCTTGCTCAATTTATTGGGCAAACCCCATATTGGAGAAGGAAGGATGACTATAATTTTGAACTTGCTATGTATATCTGCACAATATATGGTAAGCTTGTAGTGAAATGTACAAAAGTCTGTTGTACACAAAAAAGTCATATGTGTTACAAAAGTATTTGTACTCAAGATATGTATGTGAATTACCAACATTAGTCTAACTGAAGCTATGACAAGTTGGACTGCAAGATGATGTTCATGCGAAGAATAAAAATACTTTGTGTATTGCATTTTCATAACTTCTGAAATCTCTGAAATGCATATTTACAATTTTTTCAGTATCCCTCAACCACAAATTGTTGCTAAATCAGTAATGTAGGTAAAATGAGTAGTTGATAACTGACATCAAATATGTAATGCTATGTTGAATGGTGCATACTTTCACCCCTACCTTTATTTAGTTTTAAGAAGTATGCCATATTCTTACGCAGCTAGTGAACTTTTTTTCAACTGGGTGCTTGGGGATATTTTTATCCCCTTCACCCCACTCATATTAATTAATTTGCCTTGCATGAAGTTTCTGAGAGATTGATAATAATGACAATAATTGGATTAGTATTGTAACCAGTGAGCAGGCAGTAGGTAGAGGAGGCACAGCAAAGTCCACGAATGGTGTCCCAGTTGAAATCGGAGGATGAGATCGTAGTTATTTGAAAATTATTGACAAAGCTTCAAGAAACAACCCTGTTTTCAAGGTCAGAGAATGGTTGGGATCTATAAATCCAATGTCTTGGATGGGACCATTAAGTCCAAATGCAATATAATTTGGTGGGGAGGGGAATTGGAGTACCCCAAATAAAACCATTTTCACAGGACAGGTGCCAAATAATCTACCTATCATGTGCCCAAGTTGAAAAATATCATGATATGATAATGTAAACTCTGTGATATACTTATGGGACTATATGTATCTTGTGTTTGTATGCGATACATGTTGTAAGGAGATATTGCTTTATATGATGCACATGTGATGGTGTGAAGGGCAGACAAAGGTTAAGGTGTTTCTAGTTTCCATTTTATGGTAGTAATTTTGTGCTAGTATATTTAGTCTTGCTTTTAATAATGATAATTTGCTTATCTTTTCTACGTCACTGATGGGGTATATCTAGGAAGTCTTAGAGCTAATCTTAAGTTTCTATTCTGTTATAATTGCAATTTACTAAGGATGTCATCAGACATGTTGTAGGTGACTTGACAGCTGTATTCGATAACTTATTGTATATATGCTTTATAAATTTTTAAAATCGTTTGTGTTTTGCAGCCTTTGTTTTGGCCAGCAATACTTCTTAAATAATTAATGTTTTTGCAAATTTTTTTGCTAATTTTCTTTATGTATTCTGCCCATATTAGTCTTATGTCAAATGTAACACCAAGGAATTTGGCACTGGAATAGAGTTTTATTTCCATGTTACTCGGTTTTCATTTTTACTTTTTTCAGATTTTTGAAATATTTATTTAAACTTCTGTGAAATATAATTCCTTGAGTTATTACTGGGTTGAGCATAACCCACAAATTAGTAATTATTTTAATAAATTCTGGATGAGATATGCTGCTCTTAGCAGGTTTTTTTGATACACTCCAAACAGCAATGTCATCTGCATATTGAGAAAAATATGTATATGCTAGATGAGGAAATGGTATGCTGTTTATGAATAAAATGTAAAGGAGTAGTAGAAAGACAGAGCCTTGCAGAACTCTTACTGTAATGCTATTAGTCTTTGAAAGTGTGTTATTTACTTTTACAATGTGCTTAGTTAGGAAACTAGAAATCCACCTGGTTAATATATGTTTATGCTGATGGAGTTAAGTCTGTATCTAATGGCATTATGCCACACTATGTAAATACCTTTTGGACATCTAGAAAAACTGCAGTTGTGGCTTGATTATTATTGATTGCTTTGAAAACAGATTCTGTAAGATGTGTTAAGTGATCTATTGTTTGTCTCTTCTCACTTAGGGTTAAAACATTCTAGAAATTGGTATATAAGCAAGTATGTTATTGTCTATTTTTTATTTTCAAAATTTTCTTCAAATTAATGTTTGATAAATACAAAAATACAAAATTAATTTATTATTTGGGAACCAGAAAGATTGTAATAATACATGGAAAAAAAAGATGACTTTAAACTAACAGACATTAATAAAAACGATTTTTCTGATCACAGTAGAAAATATCACAACAAGTTTTTATCTTCTATAAACAAAAGTCAGCTTGCAAAAAGTGTAACACTGATAATGAATAAATAAATCCTATCTGATGCAGTGTTATGAAAATAATATACAATTTTTTTGGTTACCCAGAAGAAATATTATGATATACTGTTCAGAATTTAAGTTTTGTGATTTTTGCATTATGTCAGTTTGTAGAATTCAAAAAATAGGTTTGTTTGATTCTTTTAAAAAATAATAAATCCAATAACCTATTTCTGACTAGACTACAGATCATTAGATATAGGAAGAATGATAAATCAGACCCACATTAACAGTAAGAAATCTTACAAGTCGAGAAGATGGACCAGTTTTTTTAAATATAGCAAATACAAATCTTTTTGAACAGAACAATAATTTTCCATGGCAGATTTTTTTTGGGGAATTAAAATTTTGAATTTAAAGACATTGACAAATATGTTTATACAATACTACTATTTTTATTTTCCAAAGGACAAAGCAATTTCTGAAATTGTAAGGATATATCACACTTATTTTAGTCTTTGATATTGACATTAAAAACAAAACTATCCATTTAGTTTGAAAATATTATACTGGTAAATTAATTCTAACTTTTTTAGAGATTGTTAAACTCAATTATTATACTTGTACTTTTGGTAGAAATGTAAAATATTTGATTAAAAAAGTTGTAATCATTACTCAACCCTTAAATGTAACAGAAGTAAGAATATATATATTTATAAATTACTTAGCTTGAGTAAACAGAAATCAAAATGATTTATATTTAAAGAATTACTTAAATTCAATAGTTAAAAAAAGGGTGTTGGGGAACTATTGCAAACGTCTCCAGTTTCTCGTTGATATTTTATGTTTGTTACACAAAACATAAAGATACGTTTCTTAATTTAAAATGTGAAAATTAATAAAGAAAACACGTTTCTACTGCCCAACATGTTTTCGCCTATGGATTTTAAGGCTCACATATATGTATTAAAGATCGTTGGAAAGTAAAATGTAATTTGAATACTGTTGCTGACGTGGTTTATAGTTTCAAAATGAAACTGATTAATCCTTTTATTTTTAATACGAGAATTTGAATTTCATTCTGTCCAACTTTACGAAATGTAATAGTTTAAGTAAAATATATTATTATTTTATTATAATTATTATATTATATATACATTGTTAATCAAGTAGGTGTTTTGTTCTTATTACAAAAAATTCGAGGCATCATACTTTTGAGTTTTTCAACATGTAAATAAATATAGATTTGGAGGTACTTTAGTATGAGCTTTTATTGAATAGCATCGATTTTTTCATTTAAGAATACAATAGTATTTCTCGACAGTAGATGCAACTGTAAAGACACATTAGTATTTTTATGTAAATATGAAATATTATAACAAAACATTATATTATTATGTTTTAATAGCAACTAAGAGTAAATAAATGATTGTACAAAAATGAGTGTTTGTTTTATTCTTCATTGTGAAAAAAACTGATAATTATTTTTTCGAGATTCTAAATATATTCTTATCTTTACACTATACTCGATTGTATTTTAGTCATATACATTCAAATAAGTCAGTAGTATGTCTTTAAAAAGTAATAATAATATATATGCTAATTTAGATTTTGATATCAAATCAGTAAATCGTAAAGCACAACTAAATATTTTTGATAAGAGAAGAGCATTAAATTTTCCCATTTTTGGTCTGCCCACCCCTAATAGTGTGGTTCCTGGTATGATGCTGAAAGGCGTTATTACGTCTCAATTAAACAGATTTTTATCTGTTTGTAACAACAGCACGCTTTCTATGGATAATGTTAAATTATTCATAACTAAATTATAAAATAATGGATATAAATACTGGCAAATAAAAAAGTTTTTCGCAAGTTTTTATAATAAAATTCAAAATTTTTTTATTAGAAGAAAAAACCTTTTTTGTCACTAGAGGTAGATAGCTACCTTTAATATGTAAGTTAAATTTATTCAGTATAACTGGAAGTGGAAAGACTAACTTGCTGGGCTTGTCTCAGCTATCCCGTGCTATACTTGAATATTATGACAATATGAACTATTTAAGATAAGTCTTGTAGTTCTTTAAGACTTTTTTGTAGAATTATTAGGGTGGTATTTATTCCACTTTAAGATTTTTTAGAACTTTTAAGGGTGGAGGATGGTAGACATTATTTAGTAGAAATATATATTTTGGGTGGCTTAATTTTATCTTATTTCTACTTTTAATTTTATGACATATTTTTAAGGGTAATTGCCTTCCCACAACTATCTGCAGACAGTGAAAGGCAGTAAGAATTGAGACGTTGTAGGTGTAAGCATTCACCTCTGTACCCTTAATGAATTTTCCACGACTGCTGACTGGTTTCTCATCTGCTTTTTGGATTTTGTCTGATAAATGGGATATCCCCAACGTTTTGGGTGCTATTAGTATTACCATAGGCAATCTCCGTTATGACTTTTTGATAACGACCGGAAAGTGCGAAGGTTTTTTGTTTTTTTAAATAGAGTTTTGAATTTATATTAAGTTCATTATTGTTTTATAGTATTGACCTTGATCGCGTGTTGACAATTTATGTAATTGATATAATAGTTTTGAAGCTATACCTCTTATTATTTATATTGTATTATATATATATATATATAGTTTAGCAAGTTAAAACAGATAACAACATACAGCCAAAGCGTACGCCTTTTTTATGACTATGGGGAAACTAGTTGTTTGAGGAGTGTTTAAGTTGTAAAACAAAAAAAAAAAACAAGTTGTAATGTAGAATAACTTTTATGCCACTTTGTACATGTTATGAGATATTTCTAATAGTATGCATTTGTCAATAAAGTTTGCTTTTGTTTGTTAAGCACAAAGCTACATAATGAGTTACCCGTGTTCTGCCCACCACGGGTATCGAAACATGATTTCTAGCATTACGATTCCACAATCTTACCACTGTGCCACTGAAGGGCAAGTATTCTGTGTGAACTATTCATTATTGATTACTTTAACAACTGTGCTGCTGTTGTACTTGCTGAACAAAATGTAACACCATTTGGTGCACCTGGAGATAATCTCATGGATCAAGGGGCCAAGATCAACAACCATTTATGTTAAAAGTCATGCTAAGTGTGGTGAACGTGCTCACTTTACTATATTATCCTCAGATGACGGTTAGGCTGAATGGTGGGTCCATTGTTTATATTGGAGTTGGTGAAGGAATATTTTGAAGTTGTGGCAACTGAAATATTTATAGATCTTGTGTATTTGTCTTTGTGTAGTGACATCCTGACTGTCGGTTCATTCAGAACGAAAAAAAAGCGTGTTATTCTAGTTTTAGTAGATCAAATTTATAAGAGAGTTTGATTTGTGTAGACAAAGTATTTCTGAATTTTTCAAATATTAATGAATGTTTAATCCTCCAGTAGCTCAGCGGTAAGTATGAAGGCTCATAACACTAAAAACTGTTTTTCGATATCAGTCACCTCAGTCTGGGTTTTTCTCTCTGCCTTCCTGAAGCTTGAGACATGCATAGATAAGTTTATAAATAGTGATCATTTTCTATTTTCATAAGATTGATATACTCATGCATAAACTTACTTCACTCGTGCGCATGCACTTTGTCATATAATCTCTAGATTCTCCGAGCAAAGGTGCAACTAACTGTAAAGGTAATGTTACTTGTTGCTAAGTTAGACAAGCCTCACTAAACTGTATAATTCTAAGCCTAATTTAAGTGTTTCAACTAAAATGTTTATAAGCTTGTATTCACTTGTATCACAATTTGTCAATGTGAACGGTAAATTAACACCTATTAAATATTTGTTATTTACAATGCTAATCATAACTTGTTTTGATAATGGATTATGTTTTCTAACGAAAACTAGACTTAAAGTTAATGTTAGAAATATTTCAGGTCGAGCTTCTTTTCGGAACAGTTACTCTGGAGAAACAAAGGTAGGCCTAAGCAATAGTACTAACTACTAATACTATAGACTAGAATAACTATAAAGTATAAGCTATGTCAGTGTAACATTACGCATAGGTTATAACTTTAGTTTCGATTTTTATAGCATAGTTAACGATTAAGTGTTAGTGTCCAATTTAAGAGTAACAGTGTCTTGTTTAAATTAAACCCAGTAAAGGCTAAAAGTAAAATGGAATGTCCATTGATTACAAATTAATACCAAAGGAATGTAATGTGAAAAAATAATGACATGCTATAGCTTAAAGTTCTTAAGAAAAATCATAAAACTCATGATGTCATTTCTTACGACTAATGCATAATATAAAAGGGGAATGACAGGCCGGAAATACCGAAAAAACAAACGAACAGTAAATTCATAGATAAATAAGAAATGACGGCTTGTATCCTGAAATCCCTAACAGAAATCTTAAAGCCCGTAATGCCATTTGTTTAAAATGAAAGTGGAATGACAAGCTGGGAACACCGTAAAAACAGAAATAAATAAGGAAGTATAGCTTGTATTAAAAATACCAATAGAAAGTTTAAAACTATTTATGCTAGGTAGAGCTGAATAATTAATAAAATAAATTAGAATGAAAGGCTTGGAATACACAAGACATGTATAACATAAGACATGTATACTTAAATAAACATAACTTTATTTAAAACCATAATATCAATTTTAAAATTATTTGACAAATAAATAAGAGTTACGTGTATTCTAAAAATTAATTATTTAAATTTTGTTCTTTAATGATGTAATATTTATTACTATTATTTTATTTGAGCTAGTCATAAGTTGGGAAGTGTTTAAGATTTAGAAATTGTGCATTCATAACTGTTACTATTCAGTAATTGTCTTTATTAGTAGGATATGAAATATTATACTAATCTGTTTTTCTGTAGATTATTGTTCACTGTTATAAGTGAATGAACCAGTCTGTGACGTAGCTAGCATCAATCGTATGTTGATACATACATATATATGCGAAGTTTTGGTGGGGGGTATGGGGAGCGTAGCCCCCTGAAGCTGATAGTTATTTACCTTTTTCGTAACCTTAGATGAGCTACAAATACAACACAATATTCGTATTTTCAACTTTAAAGTGTATATTAATAAATTAGACTAATATCAATATACATGTTTAATTCAAAAGAATATAAATTGGGCGCAGTTCAGAATTTGATATCAGCTCTGCATAACACTGTTTAATCAACATTGTTGGCTTCAATGATTTGTTACGACAGCGGAAGTTATGTGACGTTGGTAACACGTAATGAGTATCTAGAAGATTCTCGAAGAGGCTACGCGGATGGTATTATCGTATATAAGTGCGCTATACAAGAGAGAGAAGGGGGGGGGCAAGGACAGCAGTTACGGTCGGTGGGAACCGAGGATAACAGATACAGAGATTGGAACTATATTTGCTGACAGGCGGAGATAGAGACGGACAATTAAGTCAAGCGCGGTAGTAAAGTGAGTGAATTGTTGTGAATTATAGCGTGTGCTTAAGTTAAAGTAACTGTGGAAATTAAGTGTATTGCAAAGTTGTATTGAGGAAGAATAAACTAGTTGTATTTAAGAAAGGAGTTGTATCACAGAAAAATTAACAAATGGACATACAGAGACGTAACAGATTATTTAAAATCAAGTTTTCGAGTTTTGGCATTTCCGAAGACGAAAGGCGGAAGACTTTCGAAACGTCGTCCTCTACATTTGTAGGTTTCTACAACAGGCAGTTGCTGTCCATTTGAAACTTAGGTTCATTCATGTTTTTGTTTTGTTTTCCTTTCGGAAGACTTTCGAAACGTCGTCCTCTAAATTTGTAGGTTTCTTCGACAGGCAGTTGTGTCCATTTGAAACTTAGATTCATTATGAATACTCTACCTAAACAACCTATCAAAGAAAACAAAAACATACTTAACTTCTGACAAACCTTGATGGAAAGTTGAAATAATTTTACCAAGACGCATCTCCTTTGGTGATCATTCTTTTCATATCGTCATTCAAATCACATTCAGCGATGTCAGAGTACAATGGTCCACTCAAGTTGTCTGGCGGTGAGAGTAACTCTTTTTCCTACATGTTGTTGATGACTAGAGTGGGCTTAAAACCTCTATATCCTTTGATTCTGATGTTTTTGATGTGGTTTTTTAAAGAAATGTGTTATTCTTTTCTGACTCATGTCGCTTTCCATTTATTAAAAATATAGTGCACCAAATGAGCTTTTTAGGCGGATAGAAAAAACGAGTTATGATTGTCGAAACGACAAATGGACCGGATCACGTCTTTTTTTCCACTGGTATGATAATAGGTATACGCATTATAAAACAACATCGCATCAATTCGTTATAACCAGTGATATATTGAAACGAGATTTGAATGAACGAATGGGAAGACATTACTTTTATATTTCTTTATACATTAAATATATAGACAAAGATGGCGACTGTTTCAAGTATCTATGTGGGCAATTCCCAGCTCTTAAAGAAGCAAAACTTAAATAAGGGGTTTTTGTTGGGCCTCGGATTAGGAAATTGACTTCGGATGAACATTTCGAAAGAACAATGAGGAAAGTTGAAAAAGAAGCGTGGATTGCTTTTAAAGATGTTATTGATAAATTTTCAGGAAGCAACAAGAACCCAAATTACAAAAATATTGTCAATAACATGCTCGATATATTCAAGGTATTGGGTTGTGATATGAGCTTGAAAGTTCATTCCCTACACTTACATATTGACTATCTCCCTGAAAATCTCGGTGTCGTCAGCGAAGAACAAGGAGAAAGAAAAAGTTTCAAGACATCAGGGAAATGGAGAGGAGGTATCAGGGAAAGTGGAACATCAGCATGATGGCTGATTACTGCTGGTCATTGGAACGATATGCCCCAGACGCAATACATAAAAGAAAGACCACAACACCTAGTTTTGAGACTAAAAATCAGGATGAATGAGGATGCATATTTGTTTGACATCAATGTTCTTCCTTTTTCTTCAGTTTCTTTGTATTTTTGTTACCAAACATAATAAAAAATTTTCATTGTGGTAAACGGAATAATAATTTGATTTAAGTAACAGTTTTTTCTTCCCGTTTTGTAAAAAATCTTTACGTGACAGAAAAAATGGATACTGTTTTCGAAATATTTGGAAATTATGGAAAATCCGTTATTAAAACCAAATCAACTTTTATGAAGTGTAAATTCGCAGTCCTGTATTACCTGAGGTGTACACAAACCAAAGAAAGACTGAGTGCTCTAACTTTAATATATATATATATATAGTCATTATGACACTGCTATCAACATTAGAAACTGTATATAAGCTATTTACGGAAAAGCGCCCAGAAGAATGGAGCATGCTAACATGTTATTTCAATAGTGCATACATGTACGTAAATGAAAGCCAATGACTGAAATAGCTAATATACTATTGTTGTCCAAAGTTGTATAAATTAGTAATATATTTCAACAATTAATAACTATTCTGCATGTAGATAGTACAGTACTTTACAACAATAAAACATACATATTTAATATTGAAATTAAGTGTATCGTAGGGTTGTATTCGGAAGGAATAAACCGGTTTTATTAAGTAAAGACTTGTGTCGTTGAAGTTTCGTCGGAACAAAGTTACGGAAAGTTAATTAACAAACGGAGACGTAACAATATGTTGTGCAAAGTATAATTACCGTGCAGAACATGCTAATGCTTCGAGGATCTAGTGGCATGCTCTTCCAGAAAATTTGTAAAAAATAGGTGCTGTGAGATTAAATCTGAAAGCAATTTTGTATGAAATATAGCTTAAACAATTGCTTGGATTTTCACATAAAATCCACAAACATTCAATGAAAAGTCAACAAATTATCATTCTGCTGTAACACTGCACGGGGAGCTAGGCTTAGCATAGGCGCTAAAACAACACTATAACGAACGAACGTTAACTTCAACAATACCCTGTGACTGCAGTTCAATTACTCACTATCTACTCACACATTACATTCTTCCCCGTCACGTTGTCACCCTCTTTTATATACCAGACTACCCTATATCTAGTAAATACTAGAGCATTCGCTAAGGTACGGGATAGTTCTAGAAAATAGGTGGCGCCACACCAGTCACGTGACCTCGATGACGCAACAATATAATATAGGCTACAATTTGTATGATGATGGACCTAGGGTCTAGAAATAAAGTTATAACTGCAATTAGACCT